CCAAGATGGCGTCCAAGATGGCCGCCAAAAATATGGAAATAACCACTTACTTACTTTTACTTGATTTTAATCAGTTAAAACAGATGCATTTGTTTTGGGTTTTTTCATGCATTTTTGTATCAAATACATGTCACACATACAAATTTTCTATCTATTTTTAATGTTTAAATATCTTTTAACAGGCACAGGATGAAAATTGTGGCAAAAAAAATAATGAAAAATTGCTAAAATTTAAGATGTCCGAACATTTTTCCATGTAATAATGCAATTTACAAATCAAATTAATTAACTATGGTTTACATTACAAGAAACCATCATCTGAATAAGAAATGTGCTATTGATTTTTTTTATATAATTGTATTTTTTGAGAAAATGTTGTATTTTTTAGTGGGTGGGGTAAAATAATAATTTAATCAAAATCACAAATTTATTTTAAGTTACATTACTTTTATGAATTTAAATTGTTATTATTTTAAATAAACTACTTGAAAGACTTTAATCTATATATTATAACAGAATTCAGTAACTTTTAGAGTATGAATGATTGTTAATGGTTTTATAGGAAATTAAGCACTATAAGTTGAATACAGTGTTTCAATTCAACCTTAAAAGAGTATGCTTAAATAATTTAATTGGATTTTTCTTTCGTTTATCCAAGTTTAAACAATCATTTAATGTATTTCTTGTATGTTTTATATACAAATATGAAAACTTATTCAAACATGTACGCTTTCTTTGGTGAGTTTCTACATACATTTCTCGAACTTTAATGTAACGGAGTGAGTGGGGTACATAACACATTTTGATATTACAGGTAAGAGTCAGCCAAATAATAAATAATCACTTTTTCACAAAAGTTTTTTAATAAAGGCACATTTGATTATAGAAAATTTCCTGAAATAGGTAAAAAGGAATGTTATTGTAGGAAGATTCAAGAACAAGAGGGTCATTGTAGACTTATTATGCACACCATGTTGACAACTGTAACTTTCGGTGATTTCATTAAAAATTAATGTCATCTATAATGCCATCAAACTGTCAGAGATCTACAATATTAATTTTTGGTTGTGTGTTTATAAATAAAATTTTACTTTTAAGATGTTTTGCGTTAGGTTATTCACTTCTAATACAGAAAAAAAACTTGCAATTCACTTTCATGGATAGTAAAGTTTGACTGCAGAATACAACTTGAGCAGTTGCGGTATTTTTGTTAAAAGGTTGAACTTAATATGAAGGCTTTCAACCTTGATGTTTCAAAGAACTATTTTTTCATCATTTAATAAGCATATTGAAATGGGAGACCCCACAATGTGATAAACTGAGAGAGAAAAAAATGTTGGTAGTGATGAACAAGGTGATGTCACTCACTAACTAAATCAGGTATGCAAAAATACCCCGTCAGCATTAGCCAATTGGTTTCTAAGAAAGAACTCACGTTTGAAGAAAACGCGAACACATTGAAAAATAATTTAAAAAGTTTAATAACCTAAATAAAGAAATAACTGAATTATGAAGCAAAAGAGACATTACACCAATGCACTGTTTACATATATAAAGAGAGAAGTGGGATTATCTTTTCTTCTCAGCTATATTTTCTTAACTTCTCATATTATTTAATTTAGAAATAAGCAGACATCATGTGTTTGAGCCACTTTCTATTAGGTAATACCATTTTTATGTACATTGTATATTATGCACCTAGACAGCACATGTAACTTCATAAAAAGTGCCTCAAGTCTTATATGATACCAGTAGATTGGAATGTTTCGGTTATACCTAAAATTAAAAGCAATATTGAATTATAATTTCACCAATTATCAACGTAGAGCTCAATTTAGTCAGGTTGTCATTCTTAACACTTTCCATGGAATATTGGCATTATAGATTCAATGAATACATGTTAAATGCCTTAGCAGCCTTATGCGGTTATTCATTTCTTTCAATTTAATTTGTTATATACTGTGTCTTTTTTACTTACTGTGTTGTTTGTAAAGACCAATATACTGCACAGATTCGGCGTAACTACTTATGTATGGTGATTGTTTCGTATAATGCATAATGAAGATACATTGAAATTAAATGTAAAAGGAAACTTTATTGCATCTCTAATCAAGAATATTGTAAGTTCATTTTTTTCGTCGAATCGTTTAAAAATCTTAAGATATTTTGTTAGCCAGTAGCATTGCAGTACCCATAACAGTTGCCAAGGATACACAACAATGCCATACTTGAAAACAGGCTTTGATGGTCAACTTTGATTGCATGTGTGCAAAACAATGGCTGAAAAAAAACTATTGGATTATAATAAACAGAATCTTATTTGAGATATTGTCAACTTTTCATGATAATTTTGAAGACACTTCTCGAATGTTTGCAATGTTTCGTGTTATAGCTTACATTAAGTTATTGAAAGTATGAGGTTTTCAAAACTTTACACTTGGTATATAAATTAAAAATATAAAAGTAGTAGTGTACTTTAAAAATCATTATATGAAACCTTAATTTTTGTTTTGCGTTTATTTTTCTGTAAATTGTTCTCTTCTGTAAAAACGATAATGATTCATTCATATTTTACATATTTCATATTTTACAAGACAATATACTAAAATTTACCGAAATTCAAGAATAATAAACATTAGTTCACAATATTTCAACTAATTTTTTATTTGTGTTGAATTTAATTTAATTTGACCAAGTTGAAGAGAGGTATTTTTACATTGAAAGTGAATTGCATTTGATCTCTGAAATGTTAATTTCGGTACAAGTACATTTTATATGAAAAAGCAAAATTAAAATTGGTTGTTACAACTAAACTGCGCAATATCAATTGTTTACAATATTTATAGCGTATTTAAGATTTTAAGTGTTATACCCACTATATTTTAACTATGCTTTTCTATTTTGACCATGAAAAACCTTTGTTACTTACGGTAAACGTAAACATCTGAAATGTATTTGATGCAAGGACGCAAAAATAATGATATCAGCTTGTTATTTATGTCATATTTAAATCCTTCGAATTTACAACATTGTAAACAGTAATAACATTATTACCCATCCACTCACATGCACATGGTATATTGAAAATTCACTGTAGGAAACATCATAAGAAATGCTACAATCTATTTGATAAAGTTGTATGTATACTGGTATGATATACAAAAGTACACAAATGTTCATGAATATATATGTAAAAAGTCAATAAAAAGGAAGAAAATGAGAAATTGCAAAAAGATTATTTAACAGAGATACTCTCGACAATTCGAAAAGTTGCCATAAGGTTGTTTCGTTAAGTATAATAATGCTTACCTATATGAATACATAAAATTGTCCCAAAAAGGTACAAAGGCTTGTCATTTAGATGTTTTATCGAGTAAATCACTGCTTGATTATTATGAATGCATACAATTGTCAAAAAACATGCACAAAGCCTGTCAAAAAGATTTTTTATTCAGGGAAACATATTAATTTACATAAAATTGTCAAACAAGGGCTTTTTGTAAATTACTTATGCCATCCATGCAAAATTTATCCAAAATTTTGTAAATCAAAAAGTGGCATTAATATGCAAAAAAAGCAAATCAGAGTTATGGGACTTGTGCCAATCACATTCAGTGACGTTAGAAAGTCACAGAAAACAAGTGTGTGAAGTTTCAATCCAGGCCCTTCAGTAGTTATGGAGATACCAGCTTACACGCAAAAACTTAACCAATAATTTCTAAGTCGAAAAAGGGGCATAAATATGCAAAAAAGCAAATCCGAGTTATGGGACTTGTTCCAATCATGTTAGATTATCACAGAGAAAAGAACAAGTGTATAAAATTTCAATCCATTCACTTCAGAAGTTATGGAGATACCAGCTTACACGTAAAAACTAAACCACAGGGACGCCAATAAATGAGTCTGCATTAGCTCTAATATTCTGCGAATAGTCGAGCTAAAATATATATGCTTTCTTTAATTCAATCAATTTTCTCTTCAAAATGTTTACAATTCGTGCCTATTATATTCCACAATTACTTCATTTGTTATTATTTTAGAGCTAATAAAGCTGATTAATAAACTTGTTCAATATAAGTTATTTACAGTTAATTTGTGATAAAGACAAATTTGATATTTTACCCCACCCACTCAGAAATACACATTGTTTTCAAAAATAACTATATAATGAAAACACTCGGCGGCATTTTTCTTATATGAGAAGTTTGTTTCCTGTTATATAAGATATAATAAAACAATTTACATTTTGTATATGTGAACTGCACTGAAAACATGGGAAAACGAACAGAAAATCTTTAAATATTATCATGTTTTGTACCTTTTTGTCACATGTTATCTGCTTTTTACCATAAACAACACTTTTACATTAAAAGTAGGTAATACAACTTCATTCTCATCTGCTTTTTATCATAAACAACACTTTTACATTAAAAGTAGGTAATACAACTTCATTCCTGAAGTTGATACAGGAATGTAAGAAAAGAACAAAAGCATATGTTTTAACTGCTTAAAATAAAGCAATAATGACTAAGTGGTGCTTTCCATAATTTTGGAGGCTATCTTGGACGCCATCTTGGGTTTCTCTGTTCGCCACCATTTATGCCAATTTATGCCAGCAGATTTGTTAACTACAAACATTTAGGAACATTTTGGTATATGACATGTCTTGTTAAAAAATGGGCCGGGTAAACCCTATAAATAAGCTAATTTTTTCGAAATTGTCATCCATAAACGATCTACTAGAATTTAATATAGAAATATCTTTGAAATATTTACTCATTTGAATTTATGTATTGGTCATTTTTGTAGCAGTTTATTAATAGATTAATCAATCTGTAGGCAACCAGATTAGAAAAGATATACTGAAATATATACACTTACTATGATTCAGTAGAATGTTGATAAATCAGTATTTGATGTGTTTACGAACGAAGCATTCTCAGAAACTTCCAGTGAATTCTTATGAAGAATAAATTAGTAAAAATAATTAAAATAAAAAGGTAATTGTTATTCCGGTATTCGATGGAAACCCATATTATCTTGGTTTATTTTACCTGAGCTGCTACTTATTCCTAGTTTCAATTTCTTAGGACCAGTTTACGAAGATTGCGCATGTGGCAGAGACGCTCCAAAAAATGTGACAACACAACGGCCAGTCGTGACGGCTGCAATCCCAAATTGGTGTTTTAGTCCGTCTGGTACAGATTGTAGTTGGTACAAGGACTGTCTAGAGGTAAATTTACAACGAACATTTATTTGCTTTAGCTTACTGTGACTATCTTAAAAATAATGTAAATCATAGACATATTTGAATAAATTTGTAATGAATGGTAGATAAAAATTAAGCAAAGAATAAGCAAAATTATTTTCATTTTGACGCGTCGACTTATCTTTTACTTTGATTTTAATTCCAATAAAAATGCAAGAAATCATCTTTGTGTTTCATAGAAAGTCCTAAGTCTGAAATCAGTCTAATACCAAAAACTGAGACAATTTTGCGTTTCAAAGAAAATGTCCTAAATTAATTAGCACTCCTATAAAATGACTTTTTTTTAATTATTGAATAGCAATGCTTATGGACATCTACACACTGCAAATAAAAGTACTTATTAACTTTTCTCGGGAGAATGAACTTATTTATATATTATATATTTATTTTATTTCTTGCCTTGAAAAATTCAGCTACTTATATACACATATATAAACGAATCAATAAATACCCGTACACAACTGTTTGTAAGAAGATTAAAGAGTAATTGTAGTATCATTTTATCATTACATTTGACTTTTGCAGAAACGTTATCCTTGCAAGGAGCATGGTAATTCATATGCCTTGGATTACGCCGAGAAATTTTGTAACTTATATCAAGACCATTACGAAGAGTTTAACAACATTGGTCAAGAATGGATCGATGCTGTAAGAAAATGTCTACAAGTGAAGCTTGTACCCATCCTTAGACCATTTGTAATGGCAACATGTGAGAGCATCAGACAACAGGCATTCGAATCTCACTCTGGATGCTATCTTCATCCGGATGTTGGAAAGCCATCTATCTGTGACATTGGCGGTGTTAATTGGGCACGTATATTTTGGACAGTTAAGAGTGCGCTAATTCAAGACGCGACGGCAACCTTAAAACAGATGCTTGACGTTGTTGAAGCATGTGGGTCAGATATACTTTCTACTGGAATGGAGAAGATACAGATGATATTCCGACAAACAACGGAAATTGTCCTGAGTGACTTAAACCAATTTGCCGAAAGTATTTCAGAGCAAATAGCAAGTCAGATGGATTGGTACAAAAGAGGCATAATCTTTTTTGGGTTCCCGACTTTCACAAGTTACAATCGTTTTAAACGTTCTGCTGACAATAAGACTGACCTTTTTTACATCAACCTCCTGATTGCTTCAAAATCTGAATTCGACCTTAACGCCAATAGTAGCCATAAAGTTAATGTATCAACGGAGGCGACAAGTGTTGCTAAAGCCATTGAAAACGGCGATGCTCGCTTACAAATTCCAGAGGGGACGGAGTTTACAGAATTAAGTCTTTGTGTCGACTACAGCTGTACCGAAACTTCTTTACAAATAAAACCAGCACCGCCAGAGAAGAAGGATGGGGATGGAGTAAATGCTATACTAATAATCATCATTGTATGTTCAGTAACTTTCGGAATAGCTCTTATAGTTTCAGTAGTTGTTATATTGCGTAAATTTAACAAGTGTTAAACCGCAAAGTGCATACAAGTTATGTGGTAAAGCGCAAAGAATTCTTTCTTTTTTTCTTTTTTAATTATTACACCATTTTCGTCCTTTGTATATATAGTTAACGCTTTATCCTTTAGCACTAGCGTATATACAATGGGAATATGACATCTGTCGTTAGTGTATGTGTTAAAGACGGTAACGAGGCTCCTTTTCTTGTTTAACGTAAACTAGTTTTATTTTGCACAATTTTCTGATTGTAGAATACGAATAAAAATAATTCATCCATATAGGTGGTGTTGGCATGACTGTGTCTCATGCATAAAAGTGGCCGAATGACGCTAAATAAACCACGCAACTTTGTTGCACTCACTAGAAAATTCAATCTGATTTGCAGAAAATACTGTGTACTACTGTGAAGATAGTATTTTAACTTAAAGCCGTATGCCTTCAGATGAGCTAAAATATTTCAAGAAAATCAAACTTGAGAAACATGTACTTAGATTTCAAGAAAAGAAAAAAAGATTCAAGATTCAAATAACGCAGTAAGGGTTATTTTAGCATATTCTGGCATATTTATGTTAGATTAAATGGCTTGTAAATGTCCTTTGTTATGCGTGAATTACTATCTGTTCACGTCACAATATTTATCCTGTATATAAGTTTTCAAAATTTTCATGAAATTTAGCATAAATCTGGAAGCATGCTGCTTTAAACAATTTTAGGCATGCGTATGTATTTTCGCAAAGACATATTTCCAGCATAAAGGCATTTTTAAAATGTTTATAAGTAATGTTTTTGAGCTGTTTTTCGTCTATTATCTTAGTTGAAAAAAAAGACAGAAACTGCGTATACCGTTAGTTTAAATTCTACTGAATTTTGCGTATTGTATATTATGTATGTATTATATATCAGTATATTTGGAGACATAAAAAGATAGATTTTGAATATATATTCTGGTACATAATGATGCCTCTTTTTCTTACATGTTTTATTGGTGTTTTTGTGGTGTTTTACTTTTAGAAAATATAGCAGATTGTTCATTACCTTTTACGTGGCGTCGTTTACCATTTTATTTTAATTTCATGAACATTTGAACTGATGCAGGGCCTATACAATTTTAACCAAATTTAATGTGAAGTTCTGTTCAAGAATAATAGAGAAATCAAAGATATATTCCTCTGCTTATTTGTATGTGTTTGAACAAAGTGACCAATAAAGGCATATTATTCTATATTGCGTAATTTTTCCTATTTTGCTGATATTTCGAGATTCTCAAATATAGGTAAAATAAATGTTCCCCGTTGTACGGTTGCCATTTGTTGCTGAGTTGATAAACATGACTTTATGCTAGTAGATTGCTGGTTTTCGGCAGACTTTTTCTCAGTTTTATTTAAGGTTAAACAAAAGATGATATAGTAAAATGTAATGTAATAGTAATGACTTGTAATGTAAAAAATGCATAATAGAGTATAGAGTAAAAATATACAACAAATATACACATCAAATGCAATTGCTATACTTACTTTATAAAAGTACATATTGCATCAATTATGCATTTATGCAACTGATATAAGAAAAAAATATAATCTACTTTAATTTATGCTATTGTACAGACTAGAATCAGGCTGATCAGAAACTATCCGAACAGCAGGCTAACACCCGTTGACTAGTGCCATGCCGGATTGTAAATGTGTAAACCACTTGTTGCCCATATGGGCGAGTCCTCCAGAAAGTGTTAGTCATTTTTGAGGATTGTGCAAGATACGGATACAGAAAGATGTCCCAGAAGCTTTTACTGGTTCTTTAGCGTGCCAAGTGTTTAAGCACTCATACACGGGAACTCGATTTTAAGTCTCATCCAAAAGACTGATTAGTAATTTTAGTTGACCAGCCCGGGAATCTAACTCACAATGTCGAGATTACAGGTCTCGCGCTCTAACCGAAAGAGCTATGCGGGCTGACTCCGGACTGTGAGCTACAAAACTATCCCATTATAAATGTTAAGTTTATTGAAATATTTGATAATTAATCTTTGAAAAAATGCAAAAGAGACGATCTTTAAAAAACTTTATTAGTATAAGATTAAAAAAAACTAGAAATGTGTCGTCATGCCACGGATGCCCCCGCATGCAGCCAAATTTCAGATGTTATGATATTTAGTTCCAAATATGTTTGCACAAACTATTTTTTTCATTTTAAGTTCAAAGCCCTTAAAACTATTCAATGTTAACACAAACCTTTATTATACAAAGTTCAATGCACTGAAACTATTCAGTGTTAACACAAACCTTTATTATACAAAGTTCAAGGCACTGAAACTATTCAGTGTTAACCTTTTGTTAATTGCATATTTGTAGCCAAAATAATGACTACATATACTTCCACAAAAGTATGAGTGCTGAAACTGAAAATTCAAAAATTTTCCAACATTCAAGATAGATAACTTTGTCCAAAATCATTGAACCACGACCAAATTCAAACTTGAAGTGCTTATTCCTAAGATGACATGTATTTTGATATGATATATCCATATGTCAAATTTGAGTTGAATGTGTACAATCATTGGGAAGATAATGAACGGAAACTAAAAATTTCTGAGTTTTTCAAAGTTCAAGAGGGATAACTCTGTCAGCTATCATCAAACCATGAACAAATTCGAACTTGACCAGTGTATTCTTTTGACATATGCATATGTTAAATTTGAGTTTAATATGTACAACTGTTGGGGAGATAATGAATAATAATAATAATAATAATAACTTTATTTACCGAAGGTAACACATTAAGACATATACAGATTGCAACATCTTATTTACAATGCGGCCTTCTAAAATAAAAATAAAAAATAAAAACACACACACAAAAGAACACATATCAATCAAAGAAAATATAACATGTAAAAAGAAATGATTAAATGGTTATCACAATTTTAACATATATTAACACATATACTGAACATTCATACAATTCATTTTATTTATCATTAAACATAATACTTTCATCAGTGCATCATTTTAATCTGCAATTTAAAAAGTAAAATTAACTTACAAAATTAACACAGTCAAACAACTTGGAACTAAGACAGACACCCATTATCAGAAAACATAATAATAAAAAAAAAAACACATGTATGAATATAAAGAGCGTATCCTGTATATATAAGACGTACGGGCCGTGCTAAATTTGATTAAATAAGTATTTCTTGAAACATTTCTTAAATATTGACAATTTTGTTTTTCTTCTTATAGTCAGTGGTATGGAATTCCAAATAACCATGGCATTAAATTGGAATGTGTCATTAAAATAATTAGTACGTGGTTTGTAAGACGAAATTAAATGAGATATCGATCTTAGATTATACTTTTGATTATTAGATATGGTAAGTAAGTCTCGGATATATTGAGGGAACATATTATTCAATGCTTTATATACTTGGACACCGCTGTGAAAAATACATCTTTTCTTGAAAGGCAATATTTTTAATCTTTTGTATAAATTTTCTGATTGTTTTCTCATTGGAAGGTCTAGAATAATTTTGCAAATTCGTGTTTGTATTTTGTATATTTGGCATATATATTTTTTGTTTTCTTTTCCCCATATATTACAACAATAATCAAAAATAGGAAGAAGGTATGCATTATAAAAAAGCATGCGAGATTCCTTATTTAAAAAGTACTTTATACGCCTAAATAAATTAACTTTAGAGTTCAATTTTTTACACACATCATTTACCTGACAGTGCCAATTGAGTGTATTTTCAACATAAATACCAAGCAGTTTTTGTGATTCTACATTGTCAAGAGTTGAGTCGTTAATTTTCAAATTTAATGCTTTTGCAATCTTTAGCTTTTGTCTACTACCTACCAGCATACTTTTAGATTTTTTAGGGTGTAAAAGCATATTATTTATTTTACACCACTTAATAATCATATTAAGGCTATATTGTAGTTTTTCTTCTATAACTGATATGTCATCTCCAGATTTTATGTTAGATAACTGTACTTTTTCGACAATATTAGAAATGTTTACAAAATGTTTGTTCAATTCATTTATAATATTAGCATGATCAGTAAATGTAGTATCGTCAAAAGTGAGCCGTTCGGGAATAAGTACATTTTCCTTTTTACCTAAATTAGTTAAATCATTAATATTTTGCCAAATGTAATTTGGATTTTTTCTTTCATTTATTGCATTATTGAAGAAATTCTTTTTGCTTTTCCTAATCTCTGAATTTATTTTATTTCGTAATAATTTATAATTATCGAAATCTCCATTTTTGTGATATTTATCTCTTAAAAATATCATTGCTTTAATTTCATCAGTGATTCATTTAGGCTGTGCATCAAATTTAATTCTCTTTTCTTTTATTGGAGCATGTTTGGTAATAATATCTTTTACTATTGAAAAAAAGGTTTGTAAAGCTAAATTTGGATCAACAATATACTCCACAGATTCTAGAAAAGATCGAGCTAAATCAGTCTGAAAAGATTGTTCATTAAATGTCTTAAATGATCTATATTTCATTGTCTTATGGAAACCACGTTTAACTCGTGATTTAACTGTTCTAATGAAACAGACAGGGAAGTGATCACTTATTGATAAATTTGATACAAATATATTACATACATGTGAATGACTATTCACACTGCCATAAATATGATCAATAATTGTTGCACTAGTTTTAGTTGTTCTTGTTGGAGTTTGAATGAATTGCTTAAGACCAAATTTTGATATTAAATTAGACCATTTTGTATTATTGAACTTGTTTCTGAGTTTATCAGGCATAAAATGAATATTTACATCGCCTAGAATATAATACTCAGAATATTTAGAATCAATTTCATCAAGTTGCTGTTCGTACTCATCAATCCATGATTGACGTACTTTTGGAGGGCGGAATACATAGATTACTAGAAACGTTTTTGTATTAGGGTAGTTTATCTCTATCCAAAGAGATTCTAAATTTTCATTTTCTAGGTCGTTTCGACGTTTGTAGGGCACTTTCTCATTTATGAAAACTATCAACCCCCCTCCGTTTCTTCCATTTCTATCCTTTCTTTCAAAAACAAAGTTTTCTATTTCAATTCATTATTATGAATATTTTCATTTAGATATGTTTCACAAATACCAAAGATATCTGGTTTGTTCATTTTTCCTAGATGATATCTGATTTCATCCATTTTTGGCATCAAATGATGTATATTGACGAACGCAAACCGCAAGCCCTTAGAAAAATAGTCAAAAGTGTTGATATTGTTTTGATTTGTCACATTATTTCCATTTTCAGCTTTATGTAAAGTAGTAAGCTTTTTCTTGTTTACATTATATTCAAAACTAAGTAGTCGTCTTTTATAATAGCTATTAAAAGTATTGAAAAATAAATTATCAACAAAGCACGATTTATTCCGATAATAACGATACAAATTTGATAGCAGTTTAAAAATTAATGTGTATGTATGAACGCTACAGCATAATTTAACAACGCTTATAAATGCCAGTATCCATAGATATTGGTAAAATGAATAGCAGATAATTGATATTACTGTATCATATTATTCTCCTGTTTCCGATGTACATAGATAATGTATTTTAAAAGACTCACATACATTTTTAAGACTAACGCTGTAACTTATATTAAAAACCTCATAAAATTTGTTAGATAAATTGTTAAAGTTATTTTCATAAAAACATTTACATTTGTATGAATAACAATCATAAAATAAACTAGTTAAAAACCCATACCTAATTTCTGAGCTATACATAGTGTCATGTGAGTGCCTGTCAAAAATATCCTAATGTGAATAATGCATATGTCTATATAGTTTAGTTTTTCCATCTCGTCGGCCAGGGGGTTGATTCCATCCATAATCGAGTCGTCTGCTATTTGTAACATCATTTGTTAGTCTGCACTGAGCCGTAACGTGATTATTACGCTCACAGGTGTCGCAATGAATCCTGTTGTAGGGCTGATGGCGCCGACCCATGTGCCTGTCTGACTCCCTTATTTGTTCATATTCACTACCTCCGTTTGCACGTGTAAATCGCGGCATTCCGGTAGCACGTGACGAGCGCGGCGCTCCGATTGCACGTGTAGAAAGATGCTTCTCATAAACCGAGCGTTTTGCGGAATGATGTTAAGCACTTGATTTATTGTCATCACCAGTGTTCTAGATTCAGTTTCATTAAGATGAATCCCATCACGGTGGAAGAACAGCTTAACGAAATTTCTGA